CATGATTATCATCATCAGCAGCATCATAGTCAACATCAACACCATCGTAATCGTCATGATCATCGTCGTCATCAGCGTCATCATCATTATCATTATCATCATCAGCAACAGCAGCAGCATCATCATCATTTACCAGAGGTCCCAGTGGTGCAGCCCGCATGCGTCTCCCACACCCAGTACAACTTTTCGTGGCCCCGTCGGGGGCTCCAACGAAAGTCCCAGTGGCGCAGCCCGCATGCGTCTCCCACACGCACACAGTACAGCTTTCCCTGGCACCATAGGGAGCTCCACCGAAGGTCCCAGTGGCGCAGCTCGCATGCGTCTCCCACACTCAGTGCAGCGTTTCGTGGCCCCATAGGGAGCTCCACCGAAGGGCCAAGTGGCGCAGCCCGTATGAGTTTCCCACACCCAGTGCAGCGTTTAGTGGCACCATAGAGGGCTCCACCGAAGGTCTCAGTGGCGCAGCCCGTATGAGTTTCCCACATCCAGTACAGAGCTTTGTGGCCCCATAGGGAGCTCCACCGAAGGTCCCAGTGGCGCAGCCCGCATGCGTCTCCCACACCCAGTACAAAGTTTCGTGGCCCCATAGGGAGCTCCACCGAAGGTCCCAGTGGCGCAGCCCGCATGCGTCTCCCCCACACAGAACAGCGCTTCGTGGCCCCGTTGGGAGCTCCACCGAAGCTCCCAGTGGCGCAGCCCGCATGCGTCTCCCCCACCCGGTACAACATTTCGTGGCCCCTTAGGGAGCTCCACCGACGGTCCCAGGGGCGCAGCCCGCATGCACCTCCCCCATCCAGTACAGCGTTGCGTGGCCCCGTTGGGAGCTCCACCGAGGGTCCCAGTGGCGCAGTCCGCCTGCGTCTTCCCAGCCCGGTACAGCGTTCCGTGGCAGCATAAAGCGGGCTCCACCGAAGGCGGTTTTTACAACTGCGGTATTCACAACTGCACATGGTTGGGTCCTTCGCCAGGCTAGCTTTCCGTGTTCGGGCTCCCAGGGCCCCTCCCGTGCCCCAGGATTCCCGAACACGATTCAGAGTGAGAAAACTAGTCTCCAGTGACGCCCCCGTGTCGAGGACCCGTTCCCCTCGGGACCCCTCCCCCTCACGCCAATTGTGCCGTCTCCTCCTCCTTCCTCCCCGATGTCTGTCTGTCTCTCTCTCTCTCTCTCTCGCGAGCGCGCCTCTCCACCCCTTCCGGAGGGCTGGTTGTTCATTCCAGATGGGTTTTCGATGGCCATGGTGTTCGAAAATTGTTTCGAGATGCGGAACGCGCCGAACGTTATTATCCAACCAGTGCCTGTGCTTAGGGGTTCTTACTTGCTCTCTGAGGGGGCTTAATGTGTATGTCGGGGTTTTGCCTGGTGCCCATTTGGTGGCGGGTCGTGGGCCCCTCGTGGGCGCACCGTGCGTTGTGCGGGTGTGGCAGGGTTCGCCTGGTGTTCGCACATGAGTGCCTTGTGTGCGCCCCCGTGCTGGGTGCATCGCGTAGCTGGCACCGCATAGCTTTCACAACATGGCTTGCATCACATTGCTTACGCCACACAACTAGCACCATGAATCGCATAACAGCTTGCACCACGTACAGCGCATCACATACGTTGACCCACATATATTGCACCACATAGGTTGCATCACACACGCAGGTTGCGCCACATAGCTTGCACCACATGGGTTACACCTCATCATGCACCACTCCCTACATATTGCACCACATGGATTGCACCACTAATAGCGCACATACATCGTGTAACAATGCACTGTTGGGGATCCAGGTGGTAGGCATTCTTTAGATGTCAGGGGCGACGAACCAGAGTCGAGGATGACTAACAAGACGTTGAAGGTCGGGTATCGAGGTTTGGATATCTGGAGGTCTGGATATTGGCACCCTTCCCGGCCCATTTGGCGTCCGAGCCCGACAGGCCGCCGCCGAGCGGGCAGCCGAGAGTGGCCGGATGTCAGCCAGGCCACGGGTGACCCTCATCATGGCCGACCCCAGCAAATTCTACGAGTGTGCCGACAGAGAAAGTGTCAGGGAGTGTTTGCGGCCCAGCGCGCCATCATCGTCGTCGCTGGAGAAGAGGAGGTGGTGGTGGGGAGGAGGCTGAGACGGAGGGATGCTGGATTAAAGGCCTACGCAGACCTCCGGAGGCTTCCAAGAAGAAGGGGAGTGTTAGAGGAGGAGGATGAGGAGGAGGAGGAGGACGAGGAGGAGGAGGAGGAGGACAGGAGGCTGAGACGTAGGGATGATGGATTAGAGACCTACGGAGACCTCCAGAGACTTCCAAGGAGGGAGAGGAGGGCCAGTGTAAACCCGAGACTCGTTCAGGATGTTGCATTAAACCCTCCCACCAAGTTCCCTCTTGATAGGCCCCTACAAGCGGTAATTTCCCGTTGGAAGACAACCGTTTGACAATCCGAAGCTGTGCCAGAACACAACTCCTGGGCCTTCAACGCCGCGAATCACAGTTACTGTTGCCCCTTGACGGTCAGGAGTCGTGCCAGAACACCGTTCCTGGGACTCCAACACCGCGAATCAAAGCGATTGTTGCACCCCTTGGTTCCGATATCATACCAAAACACTCTTCCTGGGAGGTTAACATGAGAATCCTTGAAGGCGCTGCGAGCTCTTAAGGCGAGTGTGCGCGGCGCTCAGGCGAGAGCCACATTTTGAAAAGGAGCCGCCCTCCATCCGTGAAGCGACTGCATTTTTTCAGACGAGTGTGCGCTGCGCTGAGGCGAGAGCCACATTTTGAAAATAAGCCGCCCTCCATCCTTGAAGCTCTTGCGTTTTTTGGGACGACTTTGCGCGGCGCCAAGGCGAGAGCCACATTATCAAAGCGGGCCGCCCTCGTTCAGTGGAACTCTAGCAACCTTTGAATACGAGTGCACGCGGCGCTAAGGCGGCAACAACATTTTGAAAGCGGGCCGCCCTTCATCCGTGAAGCTGTTGCACATGTCAAGCTTCAGGATCACAAACAATGAGAACGTATCAGGCGAAACTCCCAGCCCGCCTTGTCGACCAGCCTCGGGGTGCGACATGGAGGAGTTATCTATAAGGAGGAGGGGGGGAGGAGGAGAAGGAGGATGAGGAACAAAAAGGAGGCAAAGGAGGAGTTGGGGGAGGAGGGAGAGGAGGATGAGGAGCGAGAAAGGAGGGGAAGGAGGGGGATGACAGGGAGGAGAAGTAGGGATGACGAGAGAAGTCGCAGGCGATTCGAATTTCACGTTGAGGAGCGAGATCTTTGTGGAGGGTGCAACGGAGGAGGCGGAGTAAGGGAGAGGTAGAGACTGGTTGAGGGTGTGTTAGTTGTTTTTCATGATGATGTGGTCTGGTGATCTTGCGGCTGTCGATAGGCTTCTCGAGGGCTCTGCAGGGTTAAAAGGAGAAGGAGGAAGTATGACGGAGCAGAAGAGGGAATGAGGACGAGGAGGAGCGACGAGGAGGGGGAGGGTTTTTGGATCGGAAGGTTAATTCAACAGCAGACTTGTCAACTGGGCATGTCACTACAGCTAGCACGTCGCTGCTGGTGAACAGAACTGCACTCGCACGTTCGCCGAGAAGCTGGGACAGCTAGAACAGTAGGTGAAGGTCAGGCAAGGGAGAATAATCATGAGGCACAGAGTGGTTCAGGCTCGGACCAGCCTATCCTCTCGACAGGACCCCGCTGGGTGAGGTGGCGAACGCCTCCATCAGCAGGACACTGCCAAGAAGTTTCTTGAGTGTGCACGTAATTCTCTTGAACTTGCAACGTTTACCCAGTTTACCCAATGATGGAGGCGTCCCTCCGCGAGCACGGGCTCCGATTGGCCGACCGATCGAGCCAGAGACAGCGCCCTCCTCATGGGCCGCCACATCTCAGGGATCCACGAGTTACCCCAGTCCGATTTTGTCCCTGTCGTGGCTTCGTCTTAGCGGAAGCCGTGGCGGATCAGCAGGCGGAGCAGCCACGGCAGGTTTTTCGAAAAGTACGGCGGCACAGCGGGCGGGCTCAATTTCTTCCCCCGACGGCTCTCCGGCCAGCTGCAGCGGCGCAGTGGACGAATACCTGGCAGCACCCAGGTGGCCGTGGTCGTTCGCGTGCTTTGCCGTCGAAGCGGCATTCCCTGGAGGAGTGTCAAAGGCGTGCTGCAGCAGCAGCAGCAGCAGCACGAGGCCGTGCACAAGGGGAGGCCGTGTGCGCAAATGTGGCCATATCGTCAGAGGTCCACCTTGCATGCTGGTGCTGTGCATCTTCGCCTCACTTGAGATCACCCTTCACCTCCTCGTTTTCTTTCGCGACCTCGTGTTCATCCTCTCTCTCCCCGAGACTTTTCCCATCATTCACTAAGCCGCGAAGCCCCTCCTTCTCCAGACTGGCGCTTGCCGGAAGCTCGACCCAATTCCGTCTTTTGGGATGCTACAGTCGGCGTTGGGGGGGAGCGCGTTGATTTTCGGGGCCCCAGAGGGGCTCGAAACCCTGATGTTCCCCACTCTCGCCCCTCCGCGCGCCGCCGACGTCGAGAAGAACTTTCTGTGCGCACTCTGGCTCAAGTTAACGCTTGCTTCATGGAATCCCTCCGTACTGCACGTTCACGTCCCGCTGACGCGGCGAACATCCCTGGCGCGTGTGGTCTAGGCTGAACGTCGCTGGTGGCCCAGAGCTGGCTGGCGTCGGGCGGTCTGCGCTGTCGGAGAGCCGTGATCGTTCAAGGCTGGACGATCCACGCTCCGAGGCGGTTCTTCATAAACGACCACCGCGTGGGGAATCGATCTTCGGAGACTTCGGCAGGCGGCGGATATGGATACATCTGGCCCCCCTGGGGCCAAAATATCAGATATATCCATATCCACCGCACGCTGGGGTCCCAGGACGTCGCTTCCCCAGGCGGTTGATCTTGATGGATCACACACGCGGTAGCAGAAAGCAACGTCGACGTCATCGCGACGCCAACCGGCAGTATCCTTCGGGGTGGGTATTTCAGGCAGGAATTCCTTGTCCAGGCTCTTCGCCGAGGCTTGCGATGGCGTCCCGCGCGGCCCTGCTCGCCGAGTTCGTCGGGACGTTCGTGCTGGTCTTCACCGTGGGCTGCAACATCCTGACCGGTCAGAGCACCTGGGCCGGCGTCTCCATCGCCTGCGCCCTGATGGTTGCCGTGTATGCTCTGGCCCCGATCTCTGGCGCCAACTTCAACCCCGCGGTGTCCGTCGCGCTCAGCGTCTCGAAGAAGCTGGACTGGGCGAGCGTCGGCCTCTACGTGGTGACGCAGGTCACCGCGGGGGTGTGCGCGGCCATGGGCTACCGCTGCCTGTTCGGGACGGGCTTCGCTCTTGAGCCAACCACGGGATTCTCGTGGTGGCAGGCGGGCCTCTGTGAGCTCCTCTACACCTTCATGCTCTGCTTCGTGGTCCTGAACACCGCCTGCTCCGTGGCGAACTCTGGCAAGCGCCAGTTCTACGGCCTTTCCATCGGGTTCGTCATCGTCGCGGCCGCCTACGGGCCGGCGGCGTCTCTGGCGGCTGCTTCAACCCCGCGGTCGCGCTCGGCGTCGAGGCGGGCAACTTGAGCTTCGGCTACTCTCTGGTGTATATAGTCTTCGAGCTCGCTGGCGCCGTGCTGGCTTCGGTGCTGTACACGGTGGTTCGGCCTCTGGAGTTCGAGCAGGGGCAACCAGCTGGGATGACGGCGAAGGTGGTGTCGGAGGTGCTCGGGACCTATTTTCTGGTGCTGACGGTCGGCCTCAACGTTCTTGCCGATTCCCTGGCTGGGGTCTTCTCCATCGCGGCATCGCTTATGTGCATGATTTTCGCACTGGGCGATGTTTCAGGCGCCCACTTTAATCCGGCGGTGACCGCTGCGATATGGTCCATTGGGAAGATTGACGGTGCCGCAGCCAGCACATACGTGTGCTTCCAGATGTTCGGTGGCATTCTGGCAGCCATCACCTACGTCATCATCTACTCGGGGGCGTCCTTCGCCCTCGCCCCTGAGGACGGCTATGGAGTGGCGGAGGTGGCCGTGGCCGAGACCTTCTTCACGTTCGTGCTCTGCCTCGTCGTGCTGAGCGTCGCGTGCTCGCCCAGCGCGGAGAAGGGTGGCTACTCGGAGGTGTTCGGGCTGGCCATCGGCTCCTGCGTCACCGTGGGCGGCTACGCCATCGGCGCCATCTCGGGGGGCTGCCTGAACCCGGCGGTGTCTTTCGGCATCGCGACGGGCGGCGCGATCGGCGGCGAGGGCGTCTCCGAGATCTACGACGAGGGCGCGTACTACACCCTCTTCGAGCTGGTCGGTGCGGGCCTTGCGGCGGGCGTGTACTTCACGACGCACGCTGCGACTGGCATGGCGAAGTGAGACGAGTGAGCTTACTGCAGCATTCCGTGGCACTCCTCGGCCTGACACCCTCGTCGTCGCCTATGTCCTCCCCCCCTGCCGCAGTCTAGTGGCACCTGGTACTGGTGGATGGTATGTGGAGTCAGCGTGCCCTGAAATTGCCACCTGTTATCTGCACCTAAGGTTCGACGGGAGGGTCTTCCATGGTACCCCCTACCACTGCCGCTGCTTACAGGTGATAAGTCGTGTTGCGTGTCTCGCCGCCTGCCCCACTGCAGCAAGTGTCGCCATCTTGATGGTGACGGGAGTGGCCCGTTCCGCAACGTGGCGGCGTGGGAAGCACGCCCCGCAGCAGGCCAGGACGCCGCCCGGGGGGTTACAGGGGGCACCTGCTCCACCGCACGGCGCATCACCGCCCTACGACGAGTTTCGTGGGACAACCTCTCCAGCCATCCCACGAGAGCTAACCTACTCATGCCATCAAACGGGTCTCTACACCCGGCGCCGGCGACTGTATTTGGGATGACTTCTATTCCTCGCTTCCTGCCCCCGCACACGACAATTGGCTTATGAAGGCATTTTTGTTGCCGTGATGCCAGACATCACGCTGACTGCTGCCGCAATGTTGCTGCGCGTGGCGCAAGCTGCGGGGACCCCCCCAGCTGTGCCACAGGGTAGTCCCGAGGACAAGGAGACAAGACCATCGGCCCGCCGCCTCCGAGGTCGGTTGGCGACTGTGACCTTCACAGCTACGCTGTTCCGTCCTATCTTTGCGCGGCGCGGGGAGAGGGAGGGGTGAAGAGAATAAATCGAGGTTCAAATGCAACCTCGTCCGAGCGAGCTGTAAGCTGAGATGGCCCAGATCAACGGGACCAGAACTTACATTTTCTGGTGCATTCCGCCGGGGAGTTTTGCCTGCAGTGGCCTCTAGACCACCGCCGGGGATTGATGGGACCTAGAGACGGATAGAAGGAGGCACAACGGGTAACTGCCGTGCTCGACCGTGCTTCACATAATGGGCCATTGTAAGCGGATGGTCGTGAGAGCGCGCAGGACCGCCGGCCTTGCCGCCAGACTGCGCCCTTGAGAAAACTGCCGCGCGACGGGGGCGAGCGCGCAGAATCGGCGGATGCACAGAACCCTCGCGTTGCCGCCAGCCAACGTTCAAGAGGACATCCGAACCGTGGCAGCGGAAAGACGTGGGAGCGCGCATGACCGCAGGCCTTTGCGTTGGGTTGTGTACTTGGGGCATCTGCCTCGCGACGGGGGCAGTCGCGCAAAATCTGCGGATGCGCGAAAGCTGGCGCTGCCGCCCGCCGGCGCCCAACTGGAGAGGGTGCGGTGGCCAGAAAGACCCGGGCGCCCGCAGGACCGCTGGGCTGCGTTTTTTGGGCAATTGTCTCGCGACGGGGTTCTGCGCGCGGAATACGTGGGCGCACGCAGGCTGGCATCGCCGCCAGGCAGCGTCCAAGAGGATATGAACTGTGAGAACCAGGGACATGTGAAATTGTACAGGACCGCTGTGTCCCTGAGGCGACTTCCTCGCGACGGAGGTAAGCGCGCAGAACCAGTGGGAGTACGAAAGCTGGCATTGTCGCTGGGCAGCGCCGGGAAAGGGACGAATCGTGAGAATCAGGGAGACGTGAGAGAGTGCACGATCGCCGGCTCTGCCGCCGCCTTCGGGTGGCCTCCTCCCGTGGCTCTCCTCCAGGATCGCCTGTCTTATGGCGACGGTCCGCCAAAGCAGGCCGGAATCCACTTCCTTCCTGCGCTTCAGGCCAGTTGGCCAGGTGAGAGGCCGCTGCAGCGCATCACGTGGGCGACCCAGGGGCCTGTTCCCCGCCTCGCAGCGCCAGACCACGTGCTCGAAGTCTGGCCTTGCCGCCGGGCTGCGTCCTTGAGGCAAGTGCCTCGCGACGGGGGCGAGCGCGCAGAATCCGCGGACGCGCGCAAGCTGGCACTGCCGCCGTGCGGCGCCCAATGGCAACAAATTCTGGGAACCAGGGTAACGTGAGTGCGCGCAGGGCCGGTGGCCTAGCCGCCAGGCTGCGTCCTTGAGGCAACCGCCTCGCGACGGGGGTACACGGGCAAAATCTGTGGATGCATGCAAAACGGCGCTGCCGCAAGCCAGTGTCGAACCGTGGTAGCGGGGGAGACGTGGGAACGCGACCGCCGGTCTTGCCGCCGGGCAGTGTCCTTGAGGCCGCTGCCTCGCGAGGGGGTCAGCGTGCGGAATCTGCGGATACACGAAGCTGGCACTGCCGCCAGACAGCGCCCAGCAGGAGACGATCCACGGTAACGCGAGCGACGAGAGAGCGCGCACGACCGCCAGCCTTGCTTGCTGCCAGGTCGCGTTTTTGAGGCAACTGCTTCGCGACGGGGGAAAGCGAGCAGAATTTGCGGCGACGCGAAAGGCGGTAATCCCGCCAGGCAGCGTCCAGAAATAGACGATCGATCCAGACTTTCAGGACGGCCGGCCTTGCCGCGGGGCTGTGTCCTTGAGGCAACGGCCTCGCGAGGG